GGCTGTTAACAGCCAGCCCCGGCTAGCCGCGGAAGCCTTTGGAGCAGGCAAAAGTTGGCTCTGGGCCAGCTCCCTCCCCTCCTCCGCTTGGGCCTCCGGGCAAGCGGCAGGGACATCAGGCAGAGAGAAGAGCTGGTCAGTGGAGATGAATGCCCTCTTGGAAGCCATTCCAGGAGACAATAGGGAAGGATTTTGCCCGGAACCTCCTTCCTTCCGCTCAGTGGCAGTTTGGGCAAAGGGGGGGGGAGACCCTCCCTAAAATCCCTGGCAGGCATGGAGAAGGGGAACAGGGGGAAAGGGAGCCAGGGGGGAAGCAGTGCTGGCGCTCCTCCTTGAAATTCAAATACAGCTCCTCCGAACAATAGGATCACCAACGATAGGATCACCGCCTTTGCTGCAGGCACCGGCCTGATGTCTTCCTCGCTTTCCTCTGCGGTCCTGCTTAAGAGTTTTAGAGGCCATGCCAGGAACTCCCCTGAAATGAGCACAACCTTGCACATACCCCTACAGGCACGCACACGCATAGACACCATCACTTTCTGTGGATTATGGTAGGACTGAGCTGAAAGCTTCACAACCCAGTTTCGGTTATTTAAAAACCTGATGGCCCAGCTTTCCTGCTGAGCAGACCGAGGAGAGGGTTTCAGGTCCCCTTTGCTGTGCCAGGTCCAAATTCAATGGGAGCAAGAACTTAAAACTGGTTAGCTGGGCTCAAAGCTGGGAGACTGGTCAAGCGTGCAGGGGCAGGGCGTGGAACAGCACTTTTCAAATCCAGGGGCCACCAAGCATGCACAGAGTGCCTTTCCAGCCTGGAGCCAGTCAGAAAAGCAATGTTGGGATCCTTCTCACCCGAATCAGCTGGAGCTCCAGAAGACGCAGCTGAGAAGGAGAGGGGAAGAGTGGAGGGTGGGACCCAGGAGGTGCTGAAGCTGCTCAGGGGCCTGCTGAATTTCTAGGCAGGTGCCGGGCTCCAGTGTCATGCCAAGGCCCATGCAGAGGCCGCCGGATCACAAGGGAAGGCGGCTTCCAAGGAAAGTCATCCCAGACTCAGTCTGCCAGCCCGCAAAGCCGCCAGCCCCCTTGTTCCTCTCTGGTCACCAGTCAGGCCCTGAGAAGCTAATCAGAGCTCTTGCGTTGGATGGCTGGTGGGCTGGTCCTCCGCGGCTAAAGCAGCGGGCAAACTTTTCCCATTAGAATGCACTGTACCTGGTGCAATGGATTGCCTTTCATGCAGAAACCCCAAATCAAGTTGAGAAATGCACAGAGTACGTGCATATTTTGACCTTGCAAAGAGGGCTCAAGTGCAAAGGTGTCTCCCCATAACCCCATGTCACCTGAGGCAGGCCAACTTCTACGTCTGAAGAGAGTTACTGTTTACTTACCCAAAATGACTCAAAGATGAGGGCATTTGCCCAACTGATCCAATCTGGCATGGTTGGCACGCTCCGGGTTCCTTCGATCAAGCAATGCCCTGTCTGGGCCCCAGGAGCATGCCTTCTCTGCAGCAGCACCTGCCTCTGGAGTGATGTCCTCCGAGACTCAAGGTGACAGAATCTTGCTTAATGTGCTCCCCCCCCCCTTTATCTTCCTCTGAGCTGGGGGGGGCAAGACCTTGACTCAGATTAATTTCTTGGAAAGGACTCGAGCCGCGCTTGTCTGACTGCTGCTCTTCCTCCTGTCCTTCGAGGCCATTCCCTCTTCCCGCTGCAGGTGGCCTCTTCCAGCTCCCAAGAGATGCAACTAGGGCAAAGTGGAATGTAGGGGGGCAGCCTAGCAGCTGAAGATGGATTCCCACGTTGACCCCCTCCCGTGTGAGAATGATATAAAGCTTGCTTCCCCTTCCTGCTTCCCCTTCCTCCCAGGGAAGCCTACGATGGGTGGAGGCCCTTGAGGCCATGGAGTCCAAGCCCTGCTCAAGCAACTCCTCCAAGGTGGTTGTCCAGCCTGTCTTAACACCTCCAGTGAAAGGAACCCCCCCCTGCCCACTATCCAACTGCTCCTAGTTTGAAATGATACTTTGCTTAAATTAAACCCCTCCTGAGGAACAAAAGTGGTTCTCAACCTTCTCAGGTGACACCTCCCTTTCCATGCATGGAGTCATCTTCCCCCCCCAATCTGCTTTTCTCCAGGCTAAAATACCCAATTTCTCCTTGCAGACTTAATTTCTGACTGCCTAATCACGCCTTCCCCTCCCTCCCTCCCCACCCAGCCAGTTCCAGATGCAGAGTCAGCCCGTAACCAGGCTATTTTAGCTGGAGGTGCTGGGGGTTCAGGGCCTCCCCCCTGCCCTGGCTAAGGACAAGGTAAGCGGGAGGCAAATGCCATTTAAGAGGCCCTCACCCCCCCCGCCCGGCGGAACCTGCCCTACTCCCCTACTTTCACCAGACAGAAACGCGGCAGGCAGGACAGAAAGCAATCGGGGTTGGTTGTTTTTTCTTTCAAGAGTTGGGTTTTTTATTCTCTTTTTAAATACTGTACAGTGAAAAATAAATAGTCTCAACCGTCACAGATCAAATTCCCCCTTTCCCCACGCACAAACACACAAACTCAAGACAGCCAGGCCAGGAGCGAGGCTGCTGCGTCAGCTTGTCCCAAGCCCATCATTCCTCCTGTTGTCTTCCACAGTGTTTTAAGAAAAGGAAAGAAAAGGGAAAGAGACACGTTTGCAGGGCCCAAAAGCCACGCCGGAGGCCCTTCCCTTTCCTCCCTAGCCCGGCAGGGCTGCCTCCCCCCGCCTAAGCTTGGACCCGTGGGGGGAGCAAGGACCTGATCCAGGCAGCCCTCGAGCCCCCTGTGCGGGGCGGGCTCGCTCTCCCAGACGCGACCGAATCCTTGCCTTCGATTTTGGTTAGTCGAAGAAGAAAGGAAAAAAAAAGCACTCCGCTTTTGTGTGTGTGTGTGTGTGTGTGTGTGTGTCTGTGTGTGTGTTTGCATTATCAGAAGGCACAGGTTGCTCTCCCCTCTTCTTTCCCCAGTTTGAATAGCCGGTTATTTTTTTTCCTCACATTTGTTTCAAAACAAAAAACTGTTTAAGTCACCAAAAACAGATGCATGAAAGTCATAGTATTTCCCCCACTCCTGCCAGCACCTCTCAGGAGGGGGATAATGAGCTCAGGTAGCATCAGACCCCCCCTCTGACAAACAAGAGGCAGAAAAAATGAAGAGGGGTTTGAATTGCCCTGTCCGGCTGCCATCGCTGAAGCTTAACCAGGATGTGTTAAGAGCTGTGGTAAAAAGAGTTTCCCATCTTTGGCAAGCTTTTAACGAGCACTAGATAATTACCTGGGGAGTGGGTGATTTGTTCTTTTTAAATAATGGTTTTGTTCTTAAACAAGATTGGTGTGGTGTTTATTTCGTTTCTCTTAAGATGTTGCAAGCAGGTGAAAAGTAGGGATCGTTTTGCGGAGAGGAGGGCTCGGTTGGCGGCACCTGGCGGGCACTTAGGACACCCCGTTGACCATGGCAGCCACCTCCTCCTCGCCGCCGGCAGCAGCGCTGTGCTCCCCGTTCTCCGAAGGGCCATTGACCATCTTGCTGTTTGCCTCACCCTGGAAGTGACAACAGAACAGGGGGCCAATTTGCCACGCTGTTGGAGGTGGCAGGGCTGCGGCCAACCCCAAAGCCGTTCCCTCTGCCTCCTTCTATCTACTCTGGTTCAGCCCCCTTTAAAAAACAATGGCATTTTACTCTGGAATCCCCCAACTGTCATAGCCAAGACCCTCTCTGGATCACGGTCCTCCTGCGACCCTCCCTCCAGCCCCACGTACCTTCTGCCTAGGCAGGTTGCCTTCAGCTGCCTTCTCCTGGCTTTCCTTGCGGGCAGGGCCCTGACGGCTCTGAGACTCTGCCCGGGATATGTAATCTGCTACGGTGACTGTGGGAGGGGAAACGAGAGCACACCGGTCATCAAGAAAACCACAGCAGATTCCCCTCCGGAAGGCGCACTTTCTGCAGGGACCGAGTCACCGACGCCCGGCTGACCCCAAGCAATCAGTGCCGTGCGTCCTTACCCGGCTGGCGGTCCCGACTGATAGAGCTGTCCACACGGTTGCCACGATTACGGCGGCGTCTGCTTCGATTGCGTCTTTGCGGCTTCGATTCCTCCTCTAGTAAAAAGAAAGGCGGGCGGTGTTCAGAGCGACGGAACCATTCCCGTTTCCTTCCCGCCCGACCCCCGGAAGAAGAGGGGGATCGCCTGGAAACCAAGGGGCCACAAGAAGATGCGCTTGGCTTGGCAGGACCCCAAGAAGAGCCTCTGCCCCAGAGACCTACACCTAGACTCCCAGCCAGCTTGCTTTCCTCTAGGGACTGGGAGCCTAGAGAGAGAATGGAGGCGCCTTCCACTCACCCACGCCGTTCTCGTTGACAGAGGTGTTGTCAGAGTCCAAGGCCCCGTCCATCATTGTGGTGTCTTCATCGGTGCGACGTCGGCGCGAGCGGCGCCGGCGGTTGCTGAGGGGCTGAGACTCGCTAGCGTCTGTGTCCATGGTCTGGTCGGTTTCGGTGTTCTCCAGCAGGCTATAAGGGTTGCTGTCTGGGTCTCTCAATACTGCAGAGAGGAGAGGCCTTCGGTCAGCCGGGGTGGAGGGGCGGCTGACTTGCTTCCCAGGGGAGGGCAGCTTTGCAGACATGCTTGTTCTCTGGCGGTGGAGGCTGACTAGAGGATTCCTGTCTCCCCTCCTCCGGCCTGCGCAAGGACCCTCCTTCAGCTCCCAGACCTCCTCCTGGCTGATTGGCAGCTCCCTCCAACCCCGAGAATAGCCAAGGGCTGCCTTATCCGCTGAGGGACGCAGCGGCCCCAGAGCCCCAAAGATGGCCTGCTGTCTGTACCTGAGCTGATGGAGGAGGTGTTGTACTTGCTGCTGCTTCCACGAGGTGCTGGAGCGGGGCCCCGGCCCCGCCCCACCCCCGGCCGCCGCCGGCCGTCCTCCAGGCGAGGGTCACGATCGCTGGGGGGTGGGCACTCATAGTCATCCCTCTTTTCTGACTCCGTCTCAGAGGCGTTGGATGCATCAGAGTTGGTAGCTAGGGCAAGAGAAGGAAGGAGGTGGTCCTGGAGTCCGACTCCCCCGTGGGCTTCAGAGGGGGCCCCCGCTGCTCTGAGTGAGAGGCAGAACACCGCCCCACTCACCATAGCCAGAATTGGGTCCCCTGCGCCCACGGCCACGCCCGCCGTAGCTGCCGCCATAAGTCCTGGTGCTGTGCAGGGACGAGGAGGTACTCTCATCCGTGGTGTAGCCCCCCCGTTCCTTCTCTGCGCGGCTGGAGAGGGGACGGAAGCCCAGGCCGATCTGCCGCAATTGCTCGTCTATCTGCAGCCTTTCCAGGCGCAGCTGTTCCACCTCCTGCCGGGGAGGCAGAAAGAGGGTTGAGGAGGGCCTGCTGCCAGGAGCTCTCGGGGAGTGGGGATGGACCGTCCTCCTGCCCCGCGGACAGAACAGGCACACTAGTACTTCACCTGCTTAGATCAGGCAGGGCAGCTCCAGAGAAACGCCCTGCCCAGAGATCTGGGTGGGGGTGAAGCGCTGCCCTCTGAGACTGACCCGCCCTCTGGGACAGGGCCTGCAGCGTTCTGTCCCGCCCTGGGAACGCCTTACCTGGAGGTAGGAGAGGTGGTATTCCAGCAGCGCTTGGGCATTGCTGATGTTCTCCCGCGTCCCCACGAAGATGAAAGGGACCATCCCCTGCAGAGAGAAGGAAGGAAAGAGGGAAGATGGCGGCAAGGACCAGCCGCGCGGCAGGCCTCTTTGCCCTGGGAGTGGGGGTCCCTCGGGGGGGAGCAAAGGCAACCCCTCAGGTCAAAGCGAGGCAGCGTAGTTCAATGAGGGCACAGGAAGAGAGCCGAGGAGGCAAACCACCACCTCAGCACAGCTGGACAAAAGGGAAAGCGGCAAGGGTGGGGGTGACGGGGTACACTGGCCACCAGAGCAGCCAAAACGAAAGAAATGACACTGCTCTAAAGCGGGCGAGGGAACTGGGTTGCCTGGCCTGGGACTCGGCTCAACATACCTCCTCCCGGGGATTCTTCTTGTCGTTGTCACCTTCCACCCGCACTCGGACCACGCCGGATTTGTCCACAATCTCCTGGATGACCTTCCCGTTCTTGCCTATCACCTTTCCTGCAGAGAATGGAGGGCCGTCAGGGAAGGGTCTTAGAAGACGCACCTGGCCACCCTGCCTGGGCTGGGAAGCTGAGCAGGGCTGCTCTGGGCTCCCCGGCTGCAGGCTGGGAAGTCGCAAGAGGCACCCCGGAGGAAGTAAGAACAAGCGGCCAGAGGTGCCTCCGTAACGTCCCCAGCAGTTAAGCTCAGCTCAGAGACCCACATTTGTGAGCTACTCTACACGGCCCGGTTGCAAACAGCCGGACCGACACGCCCTGGCGCCAGGGAGTCTTGCCTTCATCCTGACGGCTGGGCTACTGGCATACGCTCTACGTTGGGCTGCCTTGGAGGATGACTCAGACACTGCAAACTGAACAAAATGCAGCAGGTGGGCTTTTACGGGGGGAGAGCCGCTGCTGCAGGGCAACATCAGGGCTGCAGCCCTTGCACTGGTTACGCCCCCTCTGAACATCCAAGAGCCCCCCTGGCTGCTATGAGGAGTTTCAAGGTGGGTCTTCTCAGCAGTGCCCCCCGCATTAAGGAACACCAGACATATGTGGAAGGCTGCAGAGACCTTGCGATTCCAGCCTACCTAAGGCCTGGGCTGGTCATGGCTCAGCTGACTGAAGTGGTTCATAAATACCGTTAAATAAATTCAGATTAAGTTTGAATAAATTCAGTGCTGATCTGGCCCTGAAGAACTTTAGGGACTCTCTGCTCCAAGTTCTGCCCAACCTGTTAGGCTGCTAGAGAGGGGACAACCCCTCACTGGGGCAGCCCCAGCACTGGGGAACGCCTCACACCTGAAGGGCCGCCGGGCACCTTCCTTGCTGGCTTTCGGTTGGCTTCAACACAGTTTTGGGAAACGACTGATTAGGCTGACCATTGACTGGGTGGGGTTACGTTTTACCTTGATTTGATGGCAAAGCCGGTCTGTCATTTTTATCTTATGTGAGCTATATTTAAAGGTTGTTGGGTGCTATGTTGTGGTATGTTGCGGTATTTTTGTTTCATGAAGTGTTTCATTGGAATGATTTCAAAAAGTTGAAAATTGCTTGAAGTTTTGGGAGCTGACAGGTACAGAAATAATGAATAAGGTAGTAATCAACCAACCAACGCCTCCCAAGGACTCCTGGGAGTAAAATGCTTGTTCCAATCAGAGAGGGGAGTTCTTCAGGCCACTTCAATTGACAAAGAATGGGTCTCCTTCCAATACAACCTCGCAACATCGGTTTGGCTGTGATCACAGAAAGTGCACCAAGAACCATTCAGCTTTCCTTCTGTTTGTTTCCAAACCACAAAAGCAACTACGGAAACCAGGGATTCTTCCAGTACAAAATTAATATGCAATACGGCTTCTGTCCTTGAGAACCGCTATGGGCACACCACCACACTGTAGGAACGAATGGCAATTTTGAGCATTACTTCTCTGAAAATCTCTTCACAAAGGTGTCTACTTCCATGAAGTAATTTTTTGAATCAAACGTAATTTTCAACCTCTAGAGGTATGACATATGACTGTCGAGTTGCTAAAATGGCCTTTCACCAATATTCACACGGTGGGCATTTCAATCCCTTCTGCCATACCTCTTGCTTCAGTGTATTCCGAGTAGAAACAGCTGTTAGAAACAGCTCCTGAATACAAGTAGGGAGTTCCCAGCACTTAGGGGTGGCGGCCTGATTTAACTATATTGCAGGCCTTTTTTGGCGTGTGGTACTTATCCTGCTGCTGATCCTCTATTTCAGCCCAAGGTATGTGCTCCCAATCCGCCCACGTCATCCAACAAAGGACTACTTTGCTCTCTGTTCCAGTTAATCATCTCCCTCCAGGTACCTTCAGCCCAAAGTGAGGGAACGTCTGAGCGTGATTGAAACAGCCCAAAGGAAGATGATGTGGGTAACTCAGTATTCCCCACAGGCATCAGCTCGGAGTAAGACCAATTTGTTCCATACCCCGCAAAGGCTCCAGAACTGTGTTGGTCTGGAAGATTCAGGTTTATCAGTAAACACCCATGCACAACTGAAGGCAGAGAGTGGGAAACCACCCTTGGACCCAGGGAAAGAGCAGGCAGCCTCGCCGCCTTCTGGAGGGTGGTGGCCGAAGGGAAGGGGCGAGGAGAGGCGTTGCACAGACTGAGCGGGGTGGGACATCATGCCCCAGATGGCCAGCTAGCTTTCCCCAGCAGCCCCTCTGCAGCAGACCCAGAGGAAAATGAGCTGCCAAGAGCGAAGCGAATACCCCTGGGGAGAGAAAGGGAGGCAGCGGCGGGAACTCGCTTTACTCACCAACCAGATTCCGGGGGACCTGGACTGAATCCTCTGAGAATTCCAAGAAGCTCCTGGCCTGCTTGCAGGCTTCTGGGGTCTAGGGAGCAGAAAGGCACAAGGGAAGGCCACGCGGCTCACTCTTACGATGCCAAGAGCGGCGGCCACTGACGTGTTCTGCACAGACCGGGCATCTCATGTTACTGCACCAGAAGCCGGTCAGGCTAGAGAGGTGCTCCCTCTGGGCCGCCTGGCTCTTTCTTCCCCCATTAACCAAAGGAGCAGGCCTTCACCTGCCCTGCTTTTCCTTGGACCTTTCCTGCAGCTGAATTCTGAAGCAAATGGGCTAGTGGTTTTTTTTTTCTCCTTTTTGTCTCAGGGGAATACTGCTTAATGCTCCAAATATTTTTAAAAAAGGAAAACCATAACACTGAACTTGCCATCAAATTTCAGCTGTACAGCTGGAAGGAGCTCCAGACGTTACAACCTCCCACCTTCTGTTTAACTCTGGTCACCCACCTCCCCCCAAGGTGACCCTCCCGGTATTCGCCCATTGGGGCAGATTTCCTGGCTCTGATCTGCAGCTGCAGCTGGGCAAGGGACCGTGCCCACACCGGCTCCATGGGAAAGAGTCTGGCTGCTGCGCCACCCAGTTCTCCTTCCACGTATCCCAGGGGTGGATTCCTCACCTCCCCATAAATGCGGAAGGTGCAAGTCTCTTCGTCTAGCTCGATGGCCGTGACTCCCAGCACTTTGCGGGCCTGCTGGATGTTGGCGCCATGGGTGCCGATTGCCAGGCCCATCAGGTCCTCACGCACTGTGAACTCCTCCTGGAAGGCTGAGGCCAACTGCTTGCTCGTCTAAAGGGAGGAGGCGGCGCCGATGGGAAACAGAGGGCGGTCTGAACCCCGCCCGCCTTGAGCAGCCACAGCCTTCCCTCCCATCCTCCTCCAGCAGCTCAGATGCAGGCGTGCCGGCTTGGAACTCGGTCAAAAGGTTTGGGGGCCCCGATTAGACACAGGGCAGAGGGCAGGGCCTCCTGGGCATGAAATACAGGAGCTTGCGAGCGAGCTGGAGCGCTGCTGCCTCAGGCCAGGAGCCCCGACACAACCCGGGGGCTAGCTGCTCAGCCTGCTCCTTTCTCCCTCAGCCCCAACCACCTCCTGTGCCCCCGGTGCCCTCTGACCTCCAAATGTTTGTTGGCCTCCTCATTCCGGGACATCAGCATAAGCTTTGTTCGGATGCTGCGCAGATGCATGTCCCCCAGCAAAGACGCCCTCTTGACGGTGGACTCGTTTGTGGACTAAAGGAAGGCAGGAAGCAGCCTCTGCTCAGTACCCTTGGCCAGCGGGCAGGAGCAGCACAAGCAAGAGAAAGCAGAACCACGCCAGCTCCCACCGGGCCTCAGGCCATGAGGAGGGAAGCAGCTCTCCACAGCCCAGAGACAAAACCCTCATCTGGTCAGAGCAGAAGCTTCACTCAAGCACTCCTCTGTAATTCTGGCTCTTTACGTAACATCACAGGCTGAAAAGGTTACGTGTGACCGCCGGATTATCCACGTTAAAGTGTCAACTAGGTTCAAAAGTGTGCTGTTCTTGAATCCAATTAAGTTTATGTTAAATATATTTAGCAGAGTTGCCTAATTGAAGCAAATACACAGCTGCTGGAAGCTGTCCGGGACATTCTCAGTGCAGAACAGGAAATTCTTCGTGAATCAGAATAAAATGCATGTGGGATCCTGTCTGTCACTCACAAAGAGAGGAACAGCAACGAGGGGATTTTAGGCCATTGAACAGGTCGTCTCTGCATCCCACAGCCCTGCAAAACGTGGCCACTAGAGGGGAGCCAAGAGCCGTGCTTTGCCAACCCTTCTGGGGACAATGTGGCACCGCATCGTTCAGCCAGACTGTTCTGTGGACTGCCAATACTCCACCATACCCACAGAGGACGGACAGACGGACGGACACACACACACACACACACACACGCTGCCCCCCAAAGTGGTGGCTTCTTACAAGGATGATGAGTTCGCTGCTAGTGGTACTGAGGAAGATACAGTTTGCACCCACTGCCTTCTTGAATTCTTTGTGCACATTTTCATTTGAACAGCTGTAGGGTGGAAACAGAAGGCATTAAGAGGGCTTGGAAAGCCAGAATGTTGCAAGCAGCGGCAGCAACCCTAAATCCCAGGAGCCAGCCTGGGCGGGAACTGCCACCAGCCAAAGCCCCTGAGGTACCCCTTCCTCTTTCCCACTTCTGCTTCCGACTTTCCTTAACACCCCTTCCGCCGTTTCCAGAGAAAGAGTCAACAGCTGGGTGCATTTTGCAACAGCTGGGAGCCCCAAGTTTTGAGTTGACGAATACAAAGCGTAAGATGCCTGGATTGGGCAGGCAATTTGCAATTTTCCGACAGACAGAACTGCAATTCCCGTTGACACTCACGCCTCCTTGAGATCCTCTGGTACCGCAACTGTGAATTTGAAAAAGCTGCATTTGGTGGCCACTTTGCTGGGGTTGACAGGCCGCAATCGCTCCAAGGTGACAATTTCGTTGTAGATGGCATCGCAAGCAGCATATTCTATGACATAAAACTGCGAGAGAGGGCAGGGTCAGAAAGAATCTCTGAGAAGTTGCAACTGTGGGAACAGAAAAGACAGCTCTGGAATATGCACTAGTAGTAAGCCTGAGAAAATTCGAAAGGAGACGACACACGTAAAAGAAACCAGATGTGGGTTCTGTCTACACACTGCAACTGAAGAGAGAGAGAGAGAAAGAACAAGACGACAAATTCTTTCACAGAGATGTGGGAGATTTCCGAATTCACAGGCACTGTCCTGGCAATTACAGTACAGGGAGGTCCTGCCACAGTCTTCTGTGAGTCCTCATCATCTCCAAATCCTAACCCTACTTAGCTTCTAAGACCACACAAGGTCAGCCAGATGCCACCATCTTCTAACACTAATTACATGGACGTGTTCATGCACTTTTCCCAGAAGTTGATTTTATTGGTTTTATGGTAATTTCTTTGATTGTTGTGAGCCACCCAGAGTCGTTGAGAGCTGGGCAGCATGCAAGTTTAATACATTGTAAATTATAATCATTATTACTAAAGCCGATTGCCCTTGCCGCCTTCTGAGACACAGCTCAACTAAAGAGAAAGCGCTGTCCCAAGACTTACATCTCCTTTCATCATACGGACTCTGGCCAGCCACCAGCCACAGGGCTCATGCTCGTTAGCTCGGGAATAAACCTAAAAACACAACAGAGTTTGAGCTAGCCAACCCTTTCACTCCAGCAGTGCCTTGCTCCCCTCCCACTCTGAAATGCGGTTCCTTGCTGGCCAGCGCTCACCTCCACCTCGTCGCCTTCTGAGATCTCCTTACTGTAATCCGTGGGTGGGGGCAGCCGCACATCACCGAAGGGAATTTGCCGTTCCGGCTGCCAGCTAGAAAAAGGCAGAGTGTTACGCCAGGCATCCCTGAGAGCATGGGCCGAGGATCATGCCTCAGAAGCTCAAGAAGAGAAGGCCAGACTTATGGAGAATCAACAGTCAAGCATGAAAGGAGAGTGCTCTTGCTGTCCTGCCTGCCCCAAGCTACGAAAGTTGGCTCTTCCATACTTGACCCTGGCTCCTCTTAGCAGTTCCACAGAAAGAGGGAAATACAGAAAGAAAATGACTTAGGACACAGAGTTCATCCAGCTCTAAGATGTGTTGCTATAGATTAGCCAAGCTGTTACTTAAAGGACAGCTGCAGCCCAGTCTCCCTTTTCAGAGGTAAACTGTTTGCCAGCTTGGGGTAGAAACTGAAAAGAAGGTGACGCTTATCCTCCCTACACCATCTAGAGGGAAAAATAACTATTTCCTATGTAGGTTTATTTAAGTAGGGCTTAAAACCAAAACTCTCAGGGTGAATTCAGGGGTCTGAAAGTGGTTTTTGAGGGAGCTGAGGCAGCTGACAGGGAAACAGAAGCCACCCAGCCTGACCAGAACCACGAGGAGGGCTGGCCAAAGGACACAGGGCGATGCTGGGAGGGACCCTGGGTACAGTATTCAAAGCCCGCCTCCTCCTCCCCCTCCCGAGGACAGCAGGCTGGCGTTTCCGGCCCCTCTGGTGAGAGCGAGCGCAACCCTGGGAACTGGCCGTGGTGCTGCAAGGCTGCCTTGCTGACTGCTGCTGAATTAGCCAGCATTTTCATGCCCCTGTGGAGAAAGGAGGGCGGGCGGACAGGCGGGCGGGCAGACAGCAGCTGGCAGGAAGCTAGTTCCAACTGGCTGACCGAGCCACAGACTCTGGCTGCCAGGAAGTGGCCGTTCTAGTAAAGACAGCACCTGCTCCCTGCAGGGAGAAGGGGCAAAAGCAGCCTCAGGCTGAGACCCCCAAGCTTTGGGAGCAGAGGCTGGAGAGCAGGCAGACACCCCCCTGCAACTGTGACAGGAAAGGACAAAGGGGCTGGCTTGTTTTCAGCTGCCGTAGAATGCCCTTACTCAACTAACGGCTGCTGGGCCGAGAATTTGGAGCACTCTCATTCTTATCTTATCTCAACACACACACACACACACACAGAGTCAATCAATCCTCCTTTTCACAAATCTAGAAGAATCTGCTTTGGGAGAAATGTCCAAGAGGCGTAGCTGGGCCTGTTCCTCCCGGGGCCCTGGTGTGAGGCTCTGCAACAAAACCTGCTCAATGCTGTGTCATTCCTACATGGGGAGAGGCAAGCAAATCGACTGCCATGACACAGCTTCCAGAGAGGCTCTTGGCAACCTGTCCTCCTGTCCACTCCCTCCCCTGCCTGTCCAACAACTGAGGGACCTTTCCCTCCTCACTTAAAATAAAGGAGCTGGGAGGATGGAAGGTTCCCCACCAGGCACCTGTTCAAACAAAGAGAAGACCAGGCCAAGGAGCCTGGGCCATCCACGCCAGCAGGTATTGTCACTCATCCTGAAACAACTGGTTAGCCGTACCCAGTTGGAATACTTTAAAACTATAAACCATCTCAGATGTTTTGGCAGAAATTCTGTTTAAATAGTTAAATAAAATTATTCCAATTAAACGGCATTCAAATGGTATCTTAACAATGAGAGATGTTTGCAAAAAAAAAAGAAAAAAGAAAGGCGTATTAATCTCAGCTCACTCAGAAAAGGCAAACACATTTCAACTAGGCTGGAACTGCTGAGAATCAAAACGTTGGTTGAGTGCCTCCAGAAGGAGACTGAGGAAGACACAATGGGGATGGGAGGGGAGAGGTCTTTTCTTCTAGGATGGCTTCTTCCCTAAGGTGAGACTATCAAAACAAGGCTTTCCCAAATGGCTTCTGGAGACTGATTTGGGTCTCATGGTGCCAGGAATTTGTCTGGTTTAAGACGTTATTCCACTCAATGTCGATAGTTGCGTTATGTACTTATGTAATGTATTACTTGTATACCACCTGAATGCCCATTGGACTGGAGCAGTATAGAAACCATAACGTAAAATTAAAAAATAAAAATAAGATCAAGGAGCGAGGCCTAGAGGCTGCCTAAAAGCAGGCGTCTTGTCAACAGACACATCGCCTCCAAGAGGGGAGGTTTTCCAGAAGAGGAAGACTGCCAAGAACTCTGATGCTGTTTCCTCCCTTCCACATTCAACTCTCTGAAGAAGCTGGCCAGGTTATATTAATAGAAGAGGACATGGCCAGCTTTCGGCAGGTGAAAGCAGAGGACCTGCTGAACTCTAATCAGCCCTATGGGTTGATAAAACATACCGTTCACATAAAATGTAGTACCAAAACAAATAATCCATATCCTGGCACAACAATGAGTTGGCTTACACAGCTTGCTAAGACCATGGCTGGACTCCCATCACGCAGTGAACTGAACGACTAAATCCCATTTGAGTCCAGTTTAGTATGTCCTGTGAACTCAGCCAGAGAAAAACTGCCAGGAAAATTCCTAGGAGTCAGTATCACATTTCTAGGTGATACTGATCTTTCTGTTCTGGGAGCTCCATGTCACCCCCTGACTGGAGGCAGCTCCAAGTCAGCACACCTGAATTCTGCACTTACCACTGTTGCAGCAGCTCATACATAATTGGTTTTAACAGCACAGGGATACCTGGTCCTCTTAGCTGGCTCCAAAAGAGCTCTGAGTCACCACACCCAACTCTATCTACTAAACCCGCCAGCTCTTTTCCAGCCTTCTAGGACAAGGGGCAATGTTGCATGGTTAGGCACTCACTTGTTCTCGAAGGATATCGTGACCGAATCTTCATGTACATCTTTAACAAAACCCTGTATAGAAGAAAAAGACAAGAAGACTCTGTGTTACCGCCACAGCTACGAACCATCTAAAGCTCTCCACTAGATTTAGGCAAAGTGCAGAGACCACCAGTAAGCAGTGAGATCCCCGAACTGGGCCAAGGGAACTCAAGGCATCTTGGAATCAACTTAAAGCAACACTGGAAATCCAGACTTGGCGTAAAACAAGGGCAGAGTCACTGGTGTGTGTGACTCACAGCAGCAGGATGGGCAACCATGATTTGCAGAAATTACTCTTTGGAGTAGAGAGAGGCAAATAGTATATAACTTTTACACATCTGGATGGAATTAGAAGCATAAACCATGTTGCATTATCTGCTTGATTCTTGACTCAGCAAAATCCCCACGCAAACAATGCTCAGCTGGGGTAGGGACACAGATGGTGCACAGAGGTTCTGCTCCCAGACCCTGCCTGCTTTAGAGGTCCTGGCAGGCTGAGAGAGAAGAGCTGAAAGAGCTTTACGAGGGTCTCCAACTATACAAAGCTCCCTGCATTCAGGCTCCCAACTGTGGGGGCTTCAAAGTGTCCAGCTGGACTTGCCTACAAATGCCAATCAGGTCCTTGTGTAACTTGCTGAATGCTCAAAGTCTGCCAGGCATATAAAGGTAATGGGGGCTGTCTGGGTGTCCTCGCCCTCTCCCAGTTCAGCTTCATATATGTTGGAGGTTTCAAAGGCAGCCTGAGTTTGGCTCACATTCTCACCCACAGATACCTTGTTACAGGTATTAATTTGGAAATGTGCATTCTGACCAGATAGCACATACTCAGGTCTTCTTCCAAAAAGAAGAGCGGCAAAGAGCAGTATGTGAATGTGGCTTAGAGGAAATCCCACCCCCAAGGACACCCCCCCCCATCAGAGCTTGGTTCTGACTTCTTTTGATCTATTTACTGGGAATGTTTCTATCCCACCTTTCCTTGTCCTAGTTTCTGTCTGAGGCAGTTTCAGGACAAGGAGAGTCCCCTCAATTGCCCAGCTTACACAATCTAACTTTGGGGCAAATGCAAGCAGCAATGTGAGATTCACCCTTTGAAACTTTTGAGAACTGTTAGAAAAAAATAAAGGCCAGTGAACAAACCCTTATTGCAAAGTATGACTAAATTAAATCATTCACTTTGAAGAAGCATTACACTTTGGGATGGGCACATGTACAGGGAAGGAATCTAATCTGATACTGTATTCTATGAAGGGGTAATACCTGGATTCATCTGCTTCCCTAATTCCAAAGAATTGCTATTCTTTGCAAACAGCTTCCAGAAAGGGCAGTACAGCAGACCCCCTTCTTCACTCACTGCCCCTGTCTGATGGGCTCCAATTATTAACAAAGCTGGGTGGGAAGAGTGGGAATAAAGGCAACTATAGGTTTATCCTCAAGGGAGGGAGGGGCAAACATGTTCTGAGCTTGGACTGTGCTGAGAGCAAAACACCCTGCATGTCCAAAGAATGACAGAAAGAACAGGTGCTCTTGGGGGGGGGCGGTGCCTTCTCTGCCAGCTGCCCAACTGCAATGGGGCAGATATACCACCTTCCTTGCACTACAAGCTGACTTAAAACTGCATGAGCTCTGTGGACAGGAATGTCAGCGGACCAGCCAACAGAGGCTAGAGGAATGAGGAAGAAAGATCTGGTAACCTCAGAAGCCATTTCCTGGGTGGCAATGTTGGCTAGAAGAGGGTTTGTCCCCAGTGTAAAGTTTCCCTTTACATGGATATGGGGATTCTTCCCAAGTCTCACAAAAGAAATGGCTTTCCTCAACAGCAGGCCTGACTGCGCCCTTAGCAAGTCTGGATACAGCCATGAAGCAAGCCTCTTGTTTGTGTTCCCCTCCTAGTACGCTCCTTGTGGCTGGCTTTGACCTCCAAGAGACCCAATTTTGCCTCACAGGTTAACTGTATACTGACAGTTTGGTGGGAACAGACAGTGCATCTCTAACTAGGCTCCGTGGTTGTGCAACAGAAGCAGAACCCAAGAGTGGATCTCTGCGTGCTTTGGGGTATACACTCCCCTTTAGCCTGCACAACTAGCTTTAGAGCACTACTGTGTCTGAGACTACTGACACCTTTTGGACAGCAAAGATCATCTCATTCATCATTCGTTTAGTGTAGACCAGTAGAACGCCTCCCCTCGCATTCAATAAGGCCAGCATCCAGGAATATTTATATCTCCCGCATTCTTCACCTCTGGGCCGACTTACCTGCCCCCGGGTCATGCTACCAGTCTAAAATAAAACTGCTGTGCATGTTCTTTGCTGTGCTTGTGACACCACATTAGAGTTTCAGGGAAGCTCTTCTTCAGGTTTCAACTTCACTTGCAATATGAACCTACAGCTGGTCATTCCTTGGGGCTGCATCTCTAAGTATGAAAAGTTTCCTCCTGTTTTTGTGGCAAGCCACACCTCCAGTAGCCTTCAAGGCTTCCATGCAAAACTTTCTTTGAAGCACAAGAACATTCCATGAATATCTACAGGTTGCAAAACATTTCCTGATCCAGACAGGACAAAATCTTTCAAGCTAAGTACCTTCACAACAATTGCCCAGTTAAGCAGTGAGACGTTTCTGATGTAACACAAGAGCTGTCATTACTAGCAGCCAAAATTAGTCTTGGGCAGCCTTTCCAAAGCTGAGGTCTTTCACATGGTTGAACTGCACCTTCCATTGTCCCTCAGCCTGGGTGGTCAACTGCTTTTTCTAGCTGGAATAAAGGAGGTCTTAGTTCAACCCTCAGAAGACAGCAATTTGCCACCAAAGGCAAGGCCATTTTCCAGCATACAATGGCTTCCTACCAAGGTTCTCCAAGTGTGCAAAGAAGACCAGCCCAGTCATACAGTCAGCTCCTAAGAAACAATCAAGGAAAGAACCTGCTACTGGAGCTAGTCCCTGACGTTCTAGCAAAGGGCTCCTTGGACCATTCCCAGCTACAACTGACAAGGCAAATTTTCTGAGTGTAAAAATTCTTCCTCTTCTACTGACTACATTCACACATACCCCTAAGCCACAAGCCCCAATGGCTGGGTGCACACATTTTCTGACATGAGGGCTTAGCTTAACATGTCAGTCCTGGAAGGTGCAACATCTGGCCTAAGGCAGCTTTGGAGGATTCCACCTCAAAGAAATGCACAACCAACCAGGCAATTTCAGAAAAATACAGGAAAGTAGATCTGTGGGTGATACCTTTGAGGCCAGGACTCAGAGCCAAAGTACATGTGGGCAAACAACTGAATCTATCAGCCTGGTAGTCAGTAAGCAAACTCCCCTATAAAATGGCAATTTGTGTTGGTGGAGAGGGAGGAGATAGGATGCCACTGTCAAAGAGCTAGTTCACAAAGCCAACATTATTCCACAGAACATCTGTTTGGTGACGAACATTCCTACTTTCAGCTCACCAGCTTTATTATAAGCCCCTCTGGAGTATATATTATCAAGAGCAACAGATACTTAAGACAAGTGCATTATGAAGGTAAATGAAAGGGGAGGCCTACAAACCAAGAGAAACAAAGAGGATTTGGCAGTACAGAACCCTCTGTGGCTGGCTCCATTTAGTGTGCTAAGACATAGTTTTCAAATCACGATGGCTAATTTTAGTTTTGACAGCATTCTATGACAATAGCAAACAACACATATGCTTTAGGGCAATGTGAGAACCAGACAGATAGAGAAGATCATATTCAGACCACATCATGCCACAAAAACATATGAAAAAACATGTTATGATAGGCACAGCTGCCAACCACGGATCTGTAAATTTTAGGTTGCCATGTTTGTCTGAATGCAGCACAATGGCTTCTTCTATCCAGAACAAACCACTGTACTACATACAGATGACATAGGATTGAAGCTGAGATCTTCTGAATCCATTGAGATATAAATGGTTTCCTAAACATGTTTTTTCCCAATCCCAACTGCTCATACTGAGAGTCTTTTGAGGACATGTGATGAGTGCCTGATTGCTGGTAAAAAATATTGTGATAGGGCAAACTTATGACTTTAAAAATAACTTACTTGATAAAGATGCCATAGCACAGTGCATACAAACAGGCTGAAAATAACCTGCCCTGCTCTGAGAGCCAAGGATTAGGCCTCAAAGATTTCTGCCTTTGATTTGTGGCCATGTCCATGTCAAATACTGGCTGGCATGACTCCATCCTGAGGTGGGATGTCTAAAATTAGCAAAACACACAATCCCACCACCACGCCTTAAAAAAAAAACACAACCTAGTGTAGGTTATTGAATTCTCCAATGTGGAACCAGGAACTGTATGAAACAAACATATTTCTCTTCCACACAGACCAATAAAAGTTTCACACTGCACATTTTAGGTACCTGCTTTCTTTTTGTCCATTCAAATATATCTATACACACATCCCAATATCATTCCTGCATGCACAGCTGGGCACACTTAATAAAGAGTAGACAGGGTTCAATTCAGCCACTCTTCCATTTCTTCCTCTGTTGAAGAGGGAAAACTGTTTAAAACTGACAGCTACAGATCTGGAGCTGTCCAACATATTGGACTTTTCAAGAGCTTCAGGTTGCTGGTTTCCAGCCCAAAGTTAGAGACACAGAAACTTGTGTTTCTCAAGAGTTACTGCTATAATTAAGAGCTGCCTTAGGCCTACTGAAGTATAGATTGAAAATCTATCAATTTCAGGAAACTGAAAATGCTCAGGCCTAGGAAACTGGCAGAGACATCTCAGAGAGACTTACATTTTGTTTGGCAGGAAAGGAAATGCCACTTTTTCTCCCTCTACCAGGAACCCTTACTGGCAATAACTAATGTCACTTAGGGGCAAAAACTGGAGAAGGGGCTTGTGTATGTTGGAGCTGGTTTCCAGTTCCAAAACTGGGGGTTCATACACAAGCTTGCTCCCTTTTTTCTAAAATTAAGACAGCTTACCTAACAAAGTGGGAGGGGGGGGAGATATTTTTTGTTTATTCATGTTTGCTCCAACCAGACAATAGGAAATTCTGTCTGGCCAACCATCTGG